GAYRWKACGRKAMGRRAMRRARAAKRKAMAGTAYGTAGRAACRAGAAGAAATCTAAGATAATRAACTTTTCATTTTCATAATACTTACACGACATTTTGTAAAATAGAAGTTTTAAATACAAGGTCAGGACTAAAGGAAGGATCTTCATACAAAACCCTAAAGTWGACCAAATACAAGGCGTTAAACAAACACGATATATAAACTTATCTTACTGACAAGTTATCAATCAAGCAACCTACCCTATTGCTTTGTTATGCTTTAAATCATAAAGACCAGGAATAGGTGATGGAATATCYCTGTTAAGAAATTGAATTGGTAAGTGGAGCGATGAATAATTGAATGAACGAATGAACAGGAGGAAGGGTGAATAAATAACGGAATAAATGGATGGATAAATGAATAAATGGGAATGAATATACATGAAGTTTAAGAATGAATGCACGACGGAATAGGAGAATGAACAATGATTGAAAGAGTAAATGAACAAAAGTGAGTGATTTAATTGATGAATCGGAATCAATGGACGATTTGGGTTTCCGAGAACGCATTCGCGGATRAATGGACGCATCGGGAGGGAGAGAAAAAAGAAGAGTGTGGAAGGGAGGAGCAAAGGGAAAAGGGAGGGACGCAAGTAAGGTAGGAGGTACTTTGGACGGAGACGGATGTATGGACAGACAGAGGGATGAGGGATGAATACGCATTAAACAAAACATACTGCGACACTCTTATACCTGTCTGGTTGTATTGGTCGCTCCACATCGGGTAACACCTTTCCAGACATGCCACAYGTTAAATCCGTAACTAGATCTATTGCCTGGTGAATATAAAAGAAAACGATATTCATGGGTATCTTGATATGACAATAATAAGATATCTGGATAAGTAGTCGTGTACATACCTCACTCGCTTCTCCACCTTCAGAGAGACCTTTAAGAAAGTCAAAAGCAGGATTTCCTTCTCGTAGATACAAACGATCTTTACCAAGAGAATTACGCTTTGCTACGATCACGTTAAAAAAGGTTAAATGGTTAAAATGAAAGTAAAGAGAACATTTATAATAACTTGTCATTATTACAACATAGCAGGGTCACAGCTCAAGGGTACCCGTATTTTTTGTAATTGTCTTCATCAAATTAATATCCTAACCTTCTTCTGGTGAGATATCATGATAAACCTCGGCTAAAGCACTCAATAACCGCTTTTCATCAACAAAAGGAAGCAAAGCCACTCCTATTGAATGTAAAATACCACATTTAGTAAGATAATACTCTTGTAAGTAAAGGAAATTCGACAGTCTCACCTTGCCAARCATATTTCTTTCCATTGAGATCGATTTGAAAGTCAACAGGATAAAAATCAATGATGGGAGATTCCTGTAATATATAAGGCACACAACGTTACGTCCACGTACTCTTGGAAATAAAGATTTCACTTAGTAGCATTCTGTAGGAAAGTAGCTTTACCTGGGTCGTGATTCCAATCAAATACAGATAAAATGACACTGGAAAAAATCGCGCGCTTTAAAGGTTGTAAATTTGATGTAAATATGATGTAAGTGTCCAAAATTCTGTAAATTTGATGTAAATGATTTCCATTAAATTTACAGAATTTTGGACACTTACATTATATTTACATCAAATTTACAACCTTTAAAGCGCGCTATTTTTTCCAGTGTGATGGGATCATACATCGTAAAAATATAGATAAAAAATAAATTTGCTACCGCTTTGGACGTTGGTCCTGGACGAAATGAAAGACAAAGGCCAAAGGAATTACACCAGAAACATTGGTGAGTTTTGACGTTGCATTTTTATTTATTTTTATTTTTTTTTCACCAGGAAATAATGTGGTCCTGAAATGACTTATCGGTATAACTTACTGGATTTGACATAAGGTTGCGCCAAGTTGGTGGAAGAAAGTTACCACTCGCGGCAGGAAAAACYCCCATTAACTGTTCCAGTGGTTTGAACTAAAAATTACACAACAAAAACTATTTTTTAACATGAAAACATGAGTGTCATTGAAAAATCTTCATGACCACTTACTGGTTTAGTTCCTCGTTCAAAGGTGTTCTTKAGTTTCCCAATATCTCTGAAGTCAGAGGCAAATGGTGCATAATGGTATGGGAAATACCACTTCCATGAAGGACAGCCCTGGTAGTAATACTGCAGTACCCAACACAGTCCCTCGACATAAGCATCAGCCTGGAAAATACAATTAAATTGTCTGATTAAAAGTAATAGCGATAAACTACTGTGCACTGGGTCGGTGTTTCTCCGAAAACAGTGAAATAAAACTACGGAAAACTTATTGAGACAGGAACAAAGTCGGAAACATCAGATCTCCTGATTGATTGGCTGGATGAATTAATCAGTAAATTGAGTGCAGCCATCAATGCAGACGTCGTATATAGTTCGTCAAAGGTCTCACACTCTGGCGAATTACAGTACATAGGATGTCTGTAACAAAGGTTAAGTACTCAAAACAACTAGAAAAAGTTTCTTTCTACTGTAATTGTATGAAAAGTATGGAAATCAGAACACATATCACTTCATTCAAACGAAACACTTTTTTGTGAATAAGCTTTATGTGAAGTATATCTGTCCAAAGTTATTCTGCAAAACTATAATGAGGACTTACAACTTTCTTGCGGAAATCATCATAGCTCTCGTCACTTTCTGTGACGCTAAACTTGTTGGTATAGTATCTTGCCTTCCATCCGTCTTCCCACAACCTGCAAAAAACATTTAATATACTTACAATTCGTGATATTCATTCATACGACAGCTAAAGAAGGATTCTAGGAGCTGAGGAGAGATAGGTGTAAAAAGGGAGATCCTTTTTCTTTCCCCATTGTGTTTTGAGTTTTCTTTCATCATTAATGTTTCAACGCGTTACGTTAGAATTTTCGTCCAAAAGTTGTGTTCAATWGTTTTTTTGTATATCACAATACCTGACATTGTCTGGAGGGTCATCATCGTCATCATCATCACGCTTTCTTTTGTTATCATTTGACGATGCAGCACTTTGCTGTGAATTGCTACTTTGAGATTCACTTGGCTGAAAAAAGAGACAAAAAAATCCAAATATAACTGAGAAATCCAACTCATTACAAAATACAAAAAAGAGATAAAACAAGATGCAARACACAAAAGAATGCCCTCTTCATATCATTATCACGCTTGTTGATGCAGTTTGTAAAGGCTTTGTAAACCATTGAACTGCAAATTGCTAAAAATACATCAGCATAAAAACGATCTATTATTATATTGAAAATAAACTGAACATAATCCTTCAGACATACAGTAGATATACATGTTGCAGTACTCTACAGCTGCTGTGTGTAAAAGTTGTTGTGTAAGTTTGGCAGTGTAAGCTTTGCTGAGTAAGCTTTGTTTTGTAAGGGCATGAGTGCAGATTTTCAAGAAAACAAGGATAAAAATGTAACCTTGTCACTCTCTCCCTTGGTTAGCATTGCTCTGAGGTCTGCTGCAGCATTCTAAAAAGAAGAATAAACTTAAGCTTAAAACTTAAATTTAAACTTAAATTTAAGTTATAGAGTTCAGATACACAAAGGAAACAAAGTAAACAAAAACAAGMAGCTTACTTGATTAGCTCTGTTTTGTGTAAGATTCATCCCCTGTTTTCTCATTTCATATGCTTGCTGCCTAGGTGATGTTATGGCATCTGGCATACCTCCAAAGCCAAGTGCATGTGGTCTAAACTGACCATCTGGTGTCCATAAAGGATTTGTCTATAATATTAAATAAAGGTTATGAAGATTACTATACATTGCAGGTTGTCACTTAAAAATAACTATTATGTGTCAAATAGAGAGGCTGAAATCTCAATTTAATAAGACAACAGAACTGGATTRAMAAACAATACAYCAAAACACAATGCAGTACCTGTTTCTGCCTCTTTTCTCTTTCTCTTTTTGCCTTCATTCTCTGTTTGAATTGGATCTGATTCAAAAAGTACAAAAGCAAACAAGATAAATGTATCAGCATCAGCAAGACAGAATTATATCACATAAAGATTTAATGCTAATATAATAACAAGCCATCATAAAATGATTAAACACAAAGTAATTTAACAAATTATTAAGACAGGTTTCAATACAYTTGGAGGTGAAATTGTAGGTGCCTGTTCTTAAAAAGTAACTGTATGTGAATCTTAAGGTGCCACAAGCGTCACACACTTGTAATTCTGCAAAAGAAGCCAGCCAAAAGGTCAAAATAGACAGCTTGTTTTTCTGGTTAGTCTTCTTATGAAATCCCTTTATTAGAGCGGATTTCGTATGAGTGGGAAACGGACAGTACTGTACTGTGACCGTAATCGTACTGTAACCAAATTTTAGTGCCCCATTGGTTCACCAAAATTGTGCAGGCCAGGTCCGGTAACCGTGCGGTAACCGTGCAGTAACGATGTCCCACTCATACGAAATCCGCTCTATTAACAACAATAACTTACATTGTCCTGCTGTCTCTTTTTAAAAATCTCATCCTCGACAAGACCMAGTTCTGTTTCATCAAAYAAAAAAATATTGTTCATGCTTCATTCATTTATTACATTTATTTTTGAACACACAGTCAAATGCACTTTCCATGCAAACCTTAGAGAAGGAGGAATTTAAATCAAACAACTAAAAACATGACAATAATCAACATTGGCAACAATAAAGGATGAAGCTAAATCATTCAAGTGAACATGATTTAATTTCTTGTAGTCAGGCAAAATCAAGGAAGACTTTTACCTGCTAAAACTAACTGTACTCTATTTAGATCAACAAATCCATCTTTTGTTAAGTATCCCTAAAAGGACATAACAGGTTGTTAAAACAATGTAAGGGTGTTGCTTTGTTACTTTTGCAAATATGGAAAGATGCACAGTGGGGTGTGGTGTGACTGTTAAATCTTCAAAAGCACCATTGCTTTTCCTGATCAATCTATGTAAGTATTTTACAGTGTTTCCATTGAAAATTAGTGCAACGGGCTAGACAGCTCTAAGAAACTGCTGTCTTTAATAAATAGTAATCTTGTGTATAGTTCATGTGCTTGAGGCATTTTAGACTTACCCCACATCTTGGAACAACATTTTTGTAAAACCTTACAAGTCTATCAATGGCTCCTTCTCTGAAAACCAAATAAATCAAGCTCACAGTGAAACATGATGACTATCAAAGCATTTTGACATTGCCAACAGTTAATATATCGAATAAAATTTATGTGCCCTAATGGAAGGAATTAGGAGAGTGACTAGGAAACGCTTGTCACAAGTTTATCTTTTTCTAGCTATTGCAAACAATCAAAAAGACAGTATACTGACCTGATTTCTAATGATGGCAGATGAGGTAAAAAGTCATTTCCAACAAAGAAACACATGAATACCCAGTCGTCAATACATCTCTATTGAAAAAATGAAACAAAAAGTGAGAGTGAAAAAACAGATGAATGAAAAAATTATGAAGTTAAAAATATGATGCACGAATGAATGAATAAACAAAAAAATGAAAGAATAAATGAAAATGTGAAAAAAAGAAAAATTTTTTAGACTTCTTACCTCAAAGTCATAAGCAAATGGTAGGTTTTCCAGTCTCAACTCTCTCTCCAAATACTAAAAGAATATTGGTGAATTTTGGTGAAACTGATATCAATGCAATTCAGATTATAACCACAACTGCCCCCCAGTTACCAATAATGCAACCAATAAAAAAAATTACAGTACATATTACAGTAGGACAATAATCTAATTTAACAACAACCAAAAGCATTTGCTATGACAAATGCTTTCCATCCCTCAAAAAATCAAATCAATTACCAATACTTATTACAAAAAAATGATAATCATTATTAGCATTAAACAATCAATCATAGACGCTGTACCTCTCTTAAAACATTCAGTCTAATGAAGATAAATTCAACTTCCTGGGCAACTGGTTTGGTCAGTTCATCAAACTGGTGAAAAAAGTACAAATATMATGAAGTGAGTATTATACAGTAACTCTTTAGACAACTGAATGTATAAATGAGCAGGACTCCCATTAATMACAATACCCTTTCTAAAAATGTTCAGTGGTCTTTTTCACAGTTCACCRTGCCATCATGAAAAGTAACCATGTCTTTGCATCAATGCAAGACAACCAGATATGAAAGAAAGTTGGTATCATTGCAACCTCATGGCTTGTCTTGCTATCTCAGTGAACAAGCACAGCTACCTTTCAMGATGGCACAGGGAACCCATGGAGAAGCCTATTACATAGTTCGCACCTCTCCTTGTTTTTCTTTGGGCAGTCCTGTGCATTCAGCCATCTCATGACCTAATCAYATGCAAGTGTTTTAGTATAAAAACTCCAGTTGTGACAGTCAACTAAGATATGTTTGCTTACCTATTTGGCCACACAGTTCACAAGGTCTTTTCTGACCAGGTTTGAACTCCTCTCTGAGTATTGTGAAGTGAGCCTCATGAGTAGCTAGACCTGAAAATGCATAGAGTATGCAATTTGGTTGCAAATTTAAGATGATAATGTTACTATACATTCTTTCACCATGAACAATGCCTATTTCTACTCACCTAACATTATTAAATCCGCTGTTGCCATAAAAAGAAATGTTAATAATGTTAATAATAATTTAATAAAATGTACAAAAATTGTATTACATGTACACWAATGGTCTTACCATCAGCACCATTCAAACAGTGTTTGGTGTTTGGGTCATGGCCTGGACTTGCTGGAAAAATATCATAAATACATTTAAATGATTGATTAAGAAAAATTACCTATAAAATAATAATTTGAGGCATAAAGAACAGGAGAACAGTGTCAGGATTTATGCATAATTCTCTCTGGAATGCTTAGTCTGCTGTCCCTCAAAGTATTGATGAGTACTAGTATCAATTTTCTTWTACCTCTTTGCTTGCGAATATAATCCATGATTTTGTGCTCCCCTTCACCAGGAACATTAGCGTCAGAAAGGACAACCTTACAACATCAGAGAAGTGTAAATTAAATCATACAGTTATCTGTACATGATACAGTGTACTGTAGAGTACAAGACATAAAGTGTATTCTAAAATGGAGAAGCAATATAACAAGCACCTTTAACTCTACAATAATTGTTGTTGGAACAACCAAAACACAACTCAACAGAAAATTAATACACAGTGCACTTTACAATGAATGGACATTCACCTTGATATTTTTCCATCCAGGATCATTGTTCAGTCTATCAGCAATGTAGTAAGACAAACACAGAGAGAGATTAGCCATAAACTCTGTCCCCTAGAAGAAAGAGAATTACATAATATACAAATGTAAGCTTCTATGAGAACCTGACTAAGATCAATTCATAATATTCTTTACTTACAGGTGTGATACAGTTACTGTCAAAATGCTCTGTTTTAGCTTTTTCAGGGGGAAGCAAAGCACCTAAGGATAAATTATGTAATAATGAGTAATAATCATTAAAAAACAATGACTATGTCTAGAAAATTTGGAATCCCAAAATGCATAGATACATTTGACCAAGGAATGAATGTAGTTGAAAAGTTTTAAAACATTTACTGTACCCTTTTCAAATATTTACCTTTTGCAGCGAGTTCACCTCTTATTCTAGCTATTTCTTCAGCTTTCTCTCTGAATAAGAGGATTTGCATATAATTTGACAAAATTCAATTGTGATAAAATATAACAGATAATGAATCTACATGGTAGACTGTCATAAACAAGGATTATATTGTAGCACTATCACAAGTTGAAGCTACACAACAATGCACCATTTTTTGCATTAGAAAGTCAAGGTCTATGCTTATATGAGTATAGTTAAATGACTTCATTCATTCTTAGCATAATATCATCAATGAATTTACTGCAATGTAAGTATTACTGACCTGCTTTCCTTCGATGCTCTGAATCTTCTTGATCTTTGTTGATTCATCTTAGCTCTTGGGGCCTTAATAATTAATAATAAATCCAAATAAATGATTTTGCCCTCAGCCCCTTACACATTTTCCGAAACACTAAATCATTTGCATTCTGGTCTAGCTTCAATACAAACAACACAATATTTGCCCACATAAAGATGCTTGCATCATATCTAGACCACAATGCAATGTGAAATAGTAATCAGAAAGGTCTATACACTGTTCAAAGGGATATTCCAAGATATTAAGACTCACCACTCCATCAATAGCCATGTAGAGTAACTTTCTTGGCCGCACTATTGAAAATATTCTTTACAAAAAAAAAATTGAAATTTATTATATAATATAAGTGCCATGATAAAGATGATATATCATTGCATTGGTATCTCACAACCAAAGTAGTTACAAATTGKATTGTACCTGTCAATATATTCAAAAATGGCAACCATCATTTCATCTTCATTTTTTGGTGCAGGCCTGAAATTAAATCAAGAAGATAAAAAAGTTAGGATTCCATAACATGCTTGAATAACGCAGCAAGAACAACATTATCACACACAGTATTCCTTCTTTTAAGAGATGATTACAGGGGAATGAGCAGGGAGGTTCAAGAGGTTCCAGAAGCCCCCTTCCTTGGCAGACATTGAAATATAAGACTTTATTTTTGCCATATCAATAGAGCTTTGATTACATGATGATTACAGGGGAATGAGCGGAGAGGTTCAAGAGGTTCCAGAAGCCCCCTTCCTTGGCAGACATTGAAATATAAGACTTTATTTGACACATATCAATAGAGCTTTACACATTTTCAGATAGTCCAACATTATTTTTGCTGTGAATTCAAAACAATACTCAATCACCTGAAACTTCACAGTCTCGAAACCAAATATATAGAAAGCGGGAAATCCCTGCGCATTCACCTGGATGATATGATGTAACCCTAGACAATTTGTACGTTATTAATTATTAGTTTAATTATTAATTATTTATATACGTACTTATTTTCAGGATGACAGCAGGGATGGATGATACCATTCATGTCAAGATACAGATTATCAAACTCATAATCATTTGGATTGGGTAAACTGGTGTCCACTGGRGCCTTAACGCCATCAACTTCTTTTGGCTACAATAAAATAATCCATWATTTATATCCTATCTAATCAATGTAATATAATATAGTTCAATCATGATCAGATTCTATTTTAACTAGAAAAATGCATTAAYCCAAGAAAACACTGCAAGCCTTGGTACATTTTTTCCTCTATAAAGAAAACCTTCATAACTGTTCACATTTAAGCTTACTTCACACAAAACACTTTCCGAAAAGCCTTGAATTCAGAATGTCTGATAGAGTAAAATGAACAAAAAAGCACTTTCATCGCTACAATCAACCACGTTCCTATAATAAGCTTAACCTTAACTAWACTTCGCGGTAAAACTTGAACTGGTCAGCGCGACYAGACCTCGTGAAGCACACTTCACTTACTTTTTCTTCAACACAATGGACTACAATCGACGGGTATTTCTTTGAAAGCCATCGAAAGAAGGCTGGAACTCCCATGGTTAAAGATCGAATAAGATTGTTTTTACTAGGAAGCGTTCAAAATATAAACTTTTTCCTTTCAAAATGGCGGCTTCTAGAGCTCATTGGAGAATCCGCTGACGAGCAGTTATTGCATATTCAAAGATGATTTTTTTTTTTTTTTTGGCGATTGGGAATCTGTAGTCAAAAACCGTGCATTTGGTTTGCCCATTTTAAAAAATTGTTTTTCAGTTATCAAAACTTGTTTTTTATTAAATCTACTACCCAAACATTTTTTAAAACGAGCAAAACATTAGTTTGGGGTCCCTGTGGAATATTCGATTTCAACATATTTTCTTTTTATTCAAAAATACATATGCTCAAGTTTATCTTTTTATTCAGAGCGAAATATTAGACTCTACCTATTTTGTTTTCAATAGATGAATGACATTCATAGTGATTTTTAGGCAGGTCGCGGGAGTCAAAAAGATTTGTTGCCTTGGCAACAACGTGTCTGGAATGGACGTTCTTTTTGTTGTCTCAGCCGTGTAAATTAGCTTTAATATCGAATTGAGCTGATGAGGTGCTATTCAAATCAAAGAGTTATTGCTTGGGATTACTTCGCTTACAATGTAAAACACGCAAACTGTTAAACGTCTCGAAGAGAAATGTTTTCAGGTCTAGACGACAATGGAAAAACAGTTTCAGTAAAAGAAGACTCCGCGTCGATGGAAGGTCCAACAAAACAAATATCACCAAGCTCTAGTTTTAGCAGGATTCATCTTCCACCAATTGTTAAGAAAGACTCCATAACGACTATTCAACCKCCAAAAAAGGAAATAAAAATACTCTGCCTGAAATGCGAAGAAGAAGTGAAAGTAAGGCAGCTTAAAAGTCACCGTGAACTGCATCATGTCCTTAGTATTTTTCGCTACACAATGGATACCAAACCAACTTCAGTAAAGCAGCTTTTAAAGCGTCGAAAAGCTTTAATCAAAAGAYTAAATGAAACAGCATCTTCCGACGATCCAGTGTGCACTAAGAAAGTAGAGAAACTGAATCAAGCTTACGAATATTTAAAGTCATATGTTGAGGAAACCATAACATCAACGCGCGAAGTGCAAAACGACCTCCAGCCGCGTGTTCAAGGTTACGGCACGCGACTCAGCTGTGCCTTAGCGTTTGGCGTTTGTGAAGAAAGAAACGAGCGATGGCGACCTCATATGGAGGACAGGTACTGCTATAAAGATTATTTTTGTAATGATCCTCAGAGTGGACTATTTGGTATATTCGATGGCTACAATGGGCCKAACGCAGCAGAGAAATGCGCTCGCTACTTTCATGAAATATTGTCTGATAAAATTGAGACATTGTACAAGTCAGATATGAGCCACAAGCAAGTACAATCKCAAGTAATTTTATCATTTAAAAAGGCATATGAAGAAATGGATAAGCATTTACTATGGGGAGTAAATGAGAACTCGCGCAATCGTTGGAGTGGTTGTTCTGCACTGACATGCCTCCTTCGAGGAAGTGACCTGTATGTTGCCAATGCAGGAAACGTGAAAGCCTTTCTTTGTAAAGGTGATGGATCTATAATGACATTATCTCATGATCATAGCCCTTGGAATAAAAAGGAAAGAAGTCGGGTGAGAAAGGCTGCTGATATCTCAAGAACTGAGAGAACAGCTTTAGTGAATGGATTTATTAAAAGTACCAGAGGTCTAGGTAACCATGGTGACCCTGTACTAAAATCAGCTGTGATCCATGTCCCTGATGTTACTTATGTCCCACTTGACGACTCGGATCAATTTTTAGTTCTTGCCTCAAATGGAGTTTGGGAAGTATTCAATGAATCTGAGGTATTATTGCTTCTAGAYGACATCATGCCAGAATTTGATGTCAAAAATGTGGTGMGGAGGATCAGTAGCAAAGATGTGACTACAACAMAAACTGAGAATGAAAGAGAGAATGAAATCCCAAATGGACAACAACCAGGACAAAGGAGYAGTGAAAGCACYCTGAACAAATCAGTCAGTAGCAGAACAACTTCTTTTATTAGTAAAGAAGAGAAAGCTGTTCAACTTGCAAAGACTCTATCTGAACGTCTTGTAGAAAGTGCATTACTTGCTGGGTCAAAAGAAAATGTAACTGCAGCAGTAATTYTGTTGAAAGGCTGTCCACTACAAATGTTCCTGCTACCATCTATCCACAGTTTGATACAAAGCTAAAACTACTGRAATTTACTAGTAAAACATGATTTTGAATGACCACTTATTTATTATAAATTATTATTATAAGCAAACCATTGTAATACAAGGGAATATACTTTCTTCTTGACAGGAGTACATTTAATATAAATGCTACAGTAAAAACAATCTAATATTATTTACAAGACATCTGAGATGTGTATATAAATTTTTACGGAAAGATGCCCTAAGATTAGAATTTGCAAATCACATTTTAAAACCATTGGCAACTAGCYGTGTAAGAAATTTCAAACCTCTTGCAAGATACTTAAAAATCTTTTACTTGAACCAATAAAATATAAGATATTGTATGCTCTTAAGCAATTTTAGTGGCATGAACAGTCAAAATACTGTCTTATATGAAACATGACCAACACATAACCCAACTAGAGTCAGACATATTTGTCTATTATTTTTTTAGCTAAATAAAAATGTTTTTCAGGTATGACTAAGTTATTGCTGTATTTACAACTGGTAGGCTCTTTAAAATGAAAATGATTAACTTATGAGACCTCTTCTAGCAAGCATAGTATTATGTCTCTTATCTGCTCTACTGCGTCTGTTATTCTGCCTCCTTTCAACTCTGAAACRTCAAAGCAAAATGATGATTAAAACACTTACACAAAAATCCTATCCCTTCATCAAAACGCTATCACTTTACATACCTTGAAGTAACTTTRACATTTTTTACATCAACTTTGTGGTCTACTAGAGGTTTTCTGTTCACTTTGACAGGTATTTTGGAGTCTTTGCATATGTATGGGAATTTTTCAATTTTTCCCTTGTGTGGCTTATATGTGAGAGGCTTTGACAAACTTGCTTGTAGGTCAAACTTTTTCTTTGCTGAAACCGAGCCTACAGCATTTGTATTCTCCAAGCCAGCGTTGTTGTACCTTTGATAAAGAACACTGGTTCAGCACAGCATTTATACACTACATGTTTTGACAATATTCTTCTGTTGTAATATAATTATCTTATTTGACCTTATTTAGGCTACACTACACAGGACAAAGAAGTGAAGAAGTCATTCAATGTTCTTTCCACCTCACCTAAATGGTGTAACTGCAATGGATTTCCTAGATTCAAATRKGGTTTTATTTTCTTTAGCTTTACTATGTGATAACATGGACTTTCTTGAGGCAATGCCTGGTGTCTTTGTCTTTTCTTGTCCAAAAACAGGTTTTACAATCTTTGGTGACTTGAGATGACCAAAGGAAAATGAAGTTGGAACCTTCACATTTTCACTTTTATCAATGTTGAAGGTAGCTCTTCTTATTCTCTTTGGTGACTGAAGAAAAAATGTAAATAATATCAAATAATGCATACTAGTAATAATTTATTACTACACATTTGAGTATTTCAACTTATGGTGCATACCTCTCGAGCTGGTGTATTGTGTGATGCTTTCATGTCTGCAACAATGCTCCTTGCAGTGTTTGCAACATCCTAAATTAAAACAAAAACAAAAAAACGAATGAATGAATAAAATCACTTCTCAGGATTTTAACTCAACTTTGGTGTCTTGTTGTCAAAAGTTTTAGGAAATGATAGGCTTGACATTACATTATATGCACTGACAAGTGCAGTACTGTTCACACTTGGAACACAAGCGTTGTACCTGACTGTGTGAACGCTGACCAGGAGATAACATAGTTTTTACTGGTATCCAGGCCAAAAACTGGGAAATGCAACAGAGCCCAAGTAAAAGGTCCAGATATAAAGCTTACCTTTGCTTTTTTCATATTGGCATAAAGGGTTTGAGTTCTTTTCCTTTTCTTTTCTAGATACACATCAATTGAATCCATTCTGAAGAAGATAAAAATATCCAGAATGTAAAAATGATGAGACACTATGCAAGAACTTTTATAATAAGTTTAGGGTCATAGTTGTTCAATGTTACCCTRTTTGTTACATACTTTTTGAAGGCCGGGTGTTCTTTTTTCTTTGATTGACTTAGTGTTGGAGGTGCTATAGAGAAGAGTAATGTTTGATTATAAACTTGCCAATAAAACACTACACTGTATTGAACTAGGGAATCAAATTCAAGACAAACAACATAAGTTTGCTTACTTGATCCAACACAAAATGTAACATTTCTGTCCATCAATCGTGGAATCTTGCTTTGCTTTACTGAATATGTAATACTGAATATAAGACTTTTAAAGAGCAGCACTGCATAAAATCATTGACATTTKTGAGCTTATAAAGTGAGGAGAGGGAACTTCTCAGGACTTCTTGTTAAAATTACTCGCTAAATGCTCACTGCATCGTGCAATAATGCTCAAAAAAGGGTCAACACTTACAAGTTTCCTCGACTTTTTTCTCCAAATGCTGCATTATTTGTTGCTTGTATGATGGTTCCTCGTTGTKCATGGTCACCGATTCATCGCCACAAGGCTTGTTTGTACTTTCTTCTGTCAAACACGAGGCGTGATTGGACTCGGGCGTCTTACTGGATAACAAACAAAAATCATGCTTCACATTCTTCCGAGACWTCATTCATATAAAGTTGTGAACAAAACGGTTTTACTCACGTGTTTTGTTYGTYATCAGCTGAATGAAGTTTTGCGTAGTCCGTCAAGTCACTGATCAGCTGGCTTGTCTTCAGTAATGGAAAGAAACAGGTGATTATCACATAAGCAATTAATACATAACATTAAAACAAATCTCAATATATCATTATTTGTATATAGTATTCATAGCATGAAAGTTATTTAGGAGTGTGTTAGGCAAACCTACCTTGCTGTTCGCCTTTATCCCAAACTTTTTGCACAACTTCTGAAGTTGTGGMCGTTTCATGTTTTCCAATTCATTGACATCAAAACCAATGCCCTCCATATTTGCAATGGAAATGTCTTGTCTCAGAGTTAATTATTTAGATGATTATGATATTTCTCAAAGCTTYAAGAACAAAATGTTTTGATCATTCGTTCGAAAAGGCAAGCTAACTGAAACTGACACTTGAATCATTTGAATTTGGTTCCTTGTTTCTGATTGGATAGATTGTAGAGCTCAGCCGCCTCTCTTCCAAAATTATACGAAGAGACTGAAACTAGTTCTAGTCCTTCAATCCAAACAATACAAGCAACGCCTGGTCGATATTTGTCCTCAGCCAAATCCGAAAATCCACAAATATTGGCCTATGTGTGGACTGTCGAGGAGTTGCTCAACCGAAAACGACTGAGATATGAATCTGAACACGCCAAGAAATGTTTTATTAACTTTACCTTTTAGGAATTTTCGCGATTCCTTGAAATCAAAACGATTATGAGATTATAAATCTAACAGATTTCGCGACAGCTTTGTGTCAAGCAGTATCAATCAATGTCGATAACAAAATTCCAATTGCTTCTGGTTTGTGCTATTCTGCTCAACTGTGCTATACTTTTCTATATTTCGCATACTCAAAACACGGGGGAAGAGCCAAATGGACAAGGAAAATCTCTTCTGCAGAAAACAGCTCCGAGCAGAGACGAATCGATTGTCAAAGACTCAAACTACTTCCAYAACATCAAGAATTTCGAGTCTGAGGTTACTGTTGTCATTATGGAGTTTGAAGATTTCGAAAATGATATTCCCCGAAGCATCCAATCAATCATAAGGATATTTCCTAAGATTTCAATTGTTATATTATCTACTCGTCGACCTTATCCGCCATTAKCCTTTTCCAGTGTGAATGTGAAGTTAGTCGTAGAACAGGTGTCTCCAGACCAGAAACAATCGTCAGGAAGACCAGAGAACTACATTACAACGCCCTATGTGCTCGTGATACCAGATGGCGCTAGATTCAACTCTGAAAAGCTGCCAATGTTGATGTTGGAGACATTGAAGAAGTCTTCTACCAATAACAAAATAGTTGCTGTTCCTGTAGAGAGTAGAAGCTCATCTCACTGCCAGGGTTTGAAATTTGATTTAAAAAGGTGGACGTTACAATATTCATCACTTAGAAACTTATCTGGCGAGTTTGTGACATGTGATTCAGTGTCGAATACTCCTGCTGTCATTTTGAAGTCAGCATTCCTCCACAGCTTGAGTACTCCATACATCAGACCGTTTCCTGACAGCCTCTTTATTCAAGCATCCATACACTTTATTCACACAATACTGTTATATAAACACTCATTATCGCATGGTACRGAACTGTTCACCAACCCTCATAACCAATGGAAACACGAACAAGCTACAAAGAAACGACTGCAGAACATGTACAAACGATTTGGAATCAAGAAAGTAGAGCTATCAAATGGCCAGCAGGAATGGTATGGCTGTACTAAAAACACAAAACGGTGCTTTGGTACTATTGTAGATGACATGCCTGAGTTTCTTTATGAGAACCGATGGACTCCACCATGTTGCTTAAAGAACCTCAGAGAGACTGCAAAATATGTCTTCAAGGTTTTAGAAAATTCCAATGTTAAGTATTGGCTAGAAGGGGGGTCATTGCTGGGTGCAGCCAGACATAATGACATCATTCCATGGGACTACGATGTAGATGTTGGCATATATAGAAATGAGATTAGTAAATGTGAGTTTCTGTCAAAAGCTGAGGAAATGGGAAGAAGTGGGTCAAAGTTTGTTGACGACCAGGGATTTGTATGGGAGAAGAGTCAGGAGATGGAATTCTACAAAGTTCATTTTAGTCAATTCAATCACATGCATGTCGATATATTTCCATTTTATGAGAGAAATGGTATCATGACAAAGAATCATTGGTTTAAGACTCACCGACAAGACACTGAATTCCCTGCAAAGTATTTAAAACCTTTAAGTAAAATTAGATTCATAGGAAGGCAGGTATCTGCACCAAACAATATCAAAGAGTTCTTAGAGTATAAATTTGGGAAAGGAGTTATTGAAAATCCACAATATCCCGATCCTTCAAAGGTCAAAAGAAAACCAATGGAAAGACAAGAAAAAAGAAATGTTTTATGAAATACAGAAGGCATGTTAAACATGTTTTTATACAGAAAAGCATAGTATTTTATCAAATAGATTGTGTATTTTGGTGTATAAGTTAGTTTACAGCCTTTTTCTTATGCTCGTCTAACAGAGAATATTTTGAGTGCCTCACAAAGTCCAGATGGATTAACTGAGTCTAGTTTGTGTATTTTCTTCTTATATCAGATAAAAAAACTACTTAAATTTTCTGCCTCTTAAATATTTAAGTAATGGTCAATTAATATTTGCAATTCAATGTCAAAGATGTTTATACTCGGTATCAGCTCCATAAAATGGAGTGCAGATCTTATATGAACTTGAACTCTTGTAATTTTCTAATCTTCTGTTTTATAAAAAAATAAGAATAAAGCCACATGTTAAGTCTATGTGCAGTAGACCARATACCGAGTCCCTGTGATGAATAACTTGTGTCTAGTACCGTGAAGGACCTGTCAAAACACTACTGATAAATTGTGCACATTAATTTCTTGACCCCAAAAGGACTAAAATAATAAGTATTACTTTAACACTTCAACATTAAACAAACAATAACTTCCATAGCAGTGTTGGGAGTGTTTTGGGATTGAGATAAGTGTTTCCAACGTGTATTATTGTCGCGTCTGCATGCAAATCAGAGCTTAATATTTCTAAAAGTAACACAGTAAAAAGACGACGTAGCAGAAGTCGTAATGAAAATGTAACAAAATCTGCTCATTGGCGTTCAAAAGTAAGTAAATTCATTATTTTCTAGCTGTTTCACGGGTTTAACGCCTCCACTCCACGTGATCGTAGCGGTCGTCTTTCTTCCAAGATTTAGTCATTATCTCTACTGATGGACCCACGACGCTCGTAATTAAGATTTTTTTAAATGCGGTCACAGACACAGTAAAATTGTTTAGCATTCGCATCAAGTTTATTTCATGTAGTTAAAACTGTTCGTCAATTTGCTTTAGTTAAACATGCTGGAAACATTTAGAATAGTACAACCGTTGAGTTTACATATTTTGCGACAAATTAAAAGAAATGAATTAAGGTTATCCATAAGGTTTCGAACGAGATTTTCTTCTATATATGAAAAGGTCCTAAAACCTAGTTTTTTATGCAATCGTCAGAAACTGTTCCGTGGCGATTTTGACTGAGTTTTGATTTACCGAAACACACCCATTCAGTGTTGGCTAARAAAAAAACATAGATACATATATCAAGCATAAAATGTAATAATCCTTCGTTTTTCTATCTAAGAGTGAAATGTCTGATTTGCTTGGACGACTATCAAGGTATATCCTTTGTCAGGTGCAACGAGAACCTCGTGATTCTTTGTCTTTAGTCTAATCACTAGCAATTCATTCTGGGGGTCCAAGTCACGTACCACGTGATGGGCGTATTCACCTAAATGGCAGAACTCTGAAGCATACAGTTGTGTTGCTTGACGATCCATCGTAGTTCGTATCACTTTACCKTGGTCGTCAACAGCAAGAAGTCCAAGTACACCAGGACCAGYTTCTATACGTTTCAATACGGCTTCGACKTCCGATGCCATAGTAAGCCTTAYACAGAACAGTGAACCTGCTTAAAGAAAATGCCAAGAATGTGTAAAATGAATTTTTGAGTGAATTACTAGTCAGAAATAAATAAAGGGAGTTATTTTCAGAGTTTTGAKAAATAAGTGCCTGTAATACGGGCTCGTCATTGTAATAACAGGGTGTCCGCGCGGACAAGAGTTTCTGATAACATTATTTATATACCGCACCGTCCCAAGAGGCAACGTACATGTACAACGACGCCATTTTCCCAAGTAAAGAATGACGGATAAATGTAGTTCTCGTGTTTTTTTTTTAATGTTCTTTTGAATGTAATCCCAACAATCATCGTTTTGCCGCCACTCGAAGCTGCGCCGTATCTGACCGTTACTGTACATTCAATTTCCTAGTCATCATAAAATCGCTCTCATTTTAGTTTAGCGTTTTCTGCTGCAGCGCAAGATACAATGTTTTTTTAATTGCACTTATTTCGTTGAGAAGCTCATTGTCGTGCGCAATTCATAAATGTGATCATGACTCAGACTGATTTCCGATTTCAATTTCTGATTTCAACTCGTGCCGTCACAGCGTGCAATTTTGACCAACTGGGACAATCCAATTGCAGTAATGGCATGCATTAGTTTAGTTGCTTTATTTTATCGACAGTTGTTCAGCCATGGAATAGTACGGATTATACAACACCAATTTAGTCTAATTGAAAACTGAAAGCATTAAAAACAGAATCGGTAAATATATCATTTCAGTGTCAAATGAATTAAATGGTAATTCGTCCAGCAACTTTTTTTCTGCGCGCCGCCGGATCAACGCGCCAAAACGAATGTTAAACATATCTAACCATACATAATTATACCCTATATGTTACACAAATATACCTATAATTACGGGTACTAACCTTAGTTCCTTGTCACCTAAAGCTCGTTTTAAAATCTAATCTGTGATATCGACAGTAATCAAAACTAAGTTTATTAGCTGTTTCTTTATTTAGCGTGCATGGATACCTTTGTCACATCAAAACTATGACACAAAGAGACCAAAGAAACTTGCGGTTGAGCTTTTAGTTTTAATATACTTTTTAAAAACAAAACAACCAATAACATTCATTTTGAAACAGTTTCATTGTTGCAGTGTCGTCATGACACACCAACAGGTGTACCACAACTCGGGTGTTAAATCTTTTTTATTGGTTTCTTTCGTTTTACTTTTTTACTCTATATAAACACATTTTCTTTTTATCATTTTCTCTTGGCTTTTTAATCCGACAAAAGAAGTTTTCTAGTATTCAAACGTGAATTCTAGTAAAAGTTTTCGTTTGGCTTTCATATTTCATCATTTGATATTTACTTATTTCAAAAAAGGTTGTCGGATATGGCGAATGTCGAACGGCAATTGCACGACCGAAAGTAGCCTTGTGTTTTGCCAATACTCCAGTTTTGAGATCTTATTTGTGCAGCCTTAACCTCGAAAGCATGTAATATATTCTTTTATTCAGCAGAGATCCTATTGTAATGAAAACACTCTGTGTAAAAAGAAAACAATAAAAAAATTATGCTTGATTGAATCTAAGTTTGCACAAAAAAAGAATTCGACACTGGATTATTGATGAGAAATAACAACTGATTTACACTTTTAGATAGCCTGTGTTAAACATTGACTCCATTTATAGTCTCGACTTCTATCCAAGGTTAATCCAATAAGTGAAATTTTGCTTGTCAAAACAGTGTAACCATAGTCCGTTTTGGTCGTGAAATCTCCCTTCGACAAATCGCCGTTCGCTGTTCTCCACGACAACGTTTTTTGAAGTGTGTATACTTTATGAAATAGCTTCATCAAGAGCTGGGTTTATGCCTTCATGTCAATACAAGTGATTTTGTGGAGATAAATACAAGAATAAATAGATATATATATATATATAAATATTGAATATATGAAAATAGCAGCAGTATGAAGTCAAGGTAGAGCGRGATCACTAAACCCGTGAAACAAAGTGTGACTATTCAAAGTGTCATAATCAAATAGACACAAAAGAAAGCATTTAATAGAGCGTACTTATGTTAGTTATCTATTTCACGGGTTTTTGACTTCACTCTATTTTTGACTGTTCATTTTGACTTTGTTAGTATTTTGTCCAKTGTTCTAATTAAAAGAACTGAAGAYAAGGTTCTTGTGGCTTTTGTCCGTCCTTAGTCAACGAAATATCAAATAATTTAATTGAAGCTAAGACCGACTTTACTAAGTAAAATGATTGCTAAATATTACAGTAGAAACTCACGTATAAGAACAAGTGGATTAAAAACACCCAGGCCTGATATTAGGAAATAAAGTACCATATTATATATAAGAACACATTCAGCCTGAAAAATGAAAGTTCTTCTTATATGGAAAAATATCAAAGATCAAGACTACTTTTTCATTGCACACATAATAGTTCCACCCCAATTATATGTAACAAAATATTAAAAATAATAAAATATGTACTGTTATATTGATTTCATCTTTTGGCAGCCTAGTATGTTCCTTATTCTTAGAAACTTTTTTGAAGAACACTAAAGAACACTTACAGGCTGATTTTGCAGATTATAACCCTTTATATAAGAACCAAATCAGCCTGAACCACCACAATAGGTGTTCTTGTACGCGGGTTTTTACTGTATTTCATTTGCATAACAGTATTTCAAGTCCCAAAGCTAAATGTCTGCACTAGAAAATCGTGGTCTCCTCAAAGAATAAGGTAAATGTACTTTCTAGGCGAATATGATATGATAAAAGTTCCGGAGTAACAAAAATCTCCTTTAGGTTCTAGGTTGAATAACTGATGTCACCTCCAGTTAAGTGTATTCAGMAAATTGATCAAWAGTWAAAACAGGCTTTTTATCAAAAAGGGAGAGCCCGCTTACAGGCATCTTAGCTTCCTCCAGTGGAAAAAAATATCTTTTCTCGTAAATTGGCTTCTCATTTCTAAGAAAGCCGTATTTTGTCAATTTTTTCGCCTTGCTTTTCAGTTCCTCCTTATCTTTTTCCTGTCCCATTCTCTCTTCYTCYTTTAACCGTGTTCTTTCAAATTGTTGAAGTTGCTGTCTTTCTTGTTGGTGCTTCTCCTTTAGCTGTTGTATGACCAATGAGAAACGCTTGTAAAATAAAGCGTTCATTTTCTTTAGACGTTCAACCAGTTCTTGTCTTGGGARATCTGAAAATGAAATGAAAATATTGGATGAAGTCGTAACAGTGAAAGCACTGGGAGAGAATAGCTACACTGTCATAGAGACTGGGGAGAAACGCACTGCGCATGCGTTAGTCATGGAGAAACGCACTGCGCATGCGTTAGTCATATATATATTATTCCTTATTGTATACAGCTATTTGCAATAATTGTGACCCCCTACAAAGCCTAATTTTCATATATCGCTTATATTTTTTAGAAAACACTCGTTTTGAACTATAATAATATATCGGTGATGATATCCAACAATATTAACTGTCCGTTTGATATATTTGAAATATGGCACAGGTGGTCAAAACTATTGAAAATTGCTGTATGCACATCAAAAGGTTCTTGAAAATGTGATTATGAATATTTCTTTTTAACTGTTGCGTTTAAATTTGCGAAAAACTCATAATACTAACTAGTGCTACTCAGTTCTAAATATCACTATTATTATGTTACACAGATATGTTAACAAAAAAACAACATTTTACCTGGGCTGCGGTCTGTTTTTTTCACAGAGTATATAACATGCCATATTAGTCCAAGTACAACTAAGAAAGCCAGCGCTCCACCAGAAATCATCACCAAGTTTTTATATGCAGAACTACTCGYATCGAAGATACCAGATGACATTTCGCTTGCGAGTGGTACAACATTCACCTTGAAGTTAATAATAAACTCAGTACATAAGTATAAACAATGGAGGGTATGCTATGACGATGAAGTGTAGTCTCCTTCGCTGCCTACCCTTTTGTCGTGCTTCTCAAATTTTTGGGAGGGACAGGAAGCCCGACAAAAGGGAAGGCTACGAAGGAGACTAGATGAAATGTTGATGATGATGATGAATGATAACGATACTTATAAATAACAACGGTGGTACAGCGGTGCACACAAATAGCCCGTGAATCATATCTGGAAGTGTCAAGTAATTTCACTTTTAAAAAGTCGGTAAAACAACCAATAGTTTTAACTTTAAAAAGTTATAAACGTACTTCCTAATAAGAGATTTAACAAATATGTAATAAATAAATAAAATAAAGTCTTTTATTTTGAGGGGGTAACACGTAATAGTCTCTAGACTAATAAACTTGTGGCCCTTTATATATTCACTCATACTCACTACCTCAACATTCATTATTTTACTACACGACACTCCTCACAGCTAGTTTTTGACTGATGGAGGAAAACCAGCGGACCTGGAGAAAAACCCTCGGAGCAATGAAGAGAACCAGCTTACAAACTCAAATCACATATAGTCCCGGACCGGAAATCGAACCAGGACCACAGTGGTGATAGACCGGCGTTTTTTAAAACGGTTAAAGCGGTTAAAAGCGCTCGGCCATTCTTGCTCCCCTTAAATATGGATATGAGAGATGACTGCGCTCGAGAACAACAACTTTTCTTTAACAATGGACGATGTGAACTGACGCCCTTTYGTGCAGTAAAGCATGATGGGAGTTATAGTCCTCGCACTAACTGTGCTTTAGCGAGTAACACAAAAACACTCAAGAAGTGTGAGAAGCACTCAACTACRTATCGTGCTTGTTGTATTGATTATTGGACTAACCTCTATGGCATGAGCCTTGCTTTTAACGGTATCTGATATCATTTTAGCCATGCTTCTAGTATATCGACGAAAGCATGTGTTCATTAGAGAAGAGTTTCCGGTGGACACTACGCCGTTAGCAAAACTAATATCGTAGACAGTCTTAAGACGTATGAACGGTTTGTTGAACAGATCCTTTCTGCTACCAAGAGCAAAGGAATCTAATAAGGCGCCCTCTATTAGACCTTTCTCCAAGTCTTCGTAAATTTGATCGTATGACTGGTACTCGCGAACTGATAAAGAGAAGAAAAAGCGTTAAGTTTATCGTAAAACAACAGTATACGTAGTCCTCCTCACATTCCCTATCTAGTCCACCCCTGGCATCAATAATGAATATTAATGCATCCCTTATATCCTTGTATGACAATCAATGTTCATGGGCGTATCCAGAGTCACGGGCACCCTGTGACGCCCCTGATTTTGTTCAGCTACCTTTGTTCATTTTTGCATTTCTTCGAATTCCAAACCGGTATTCAAAGGAGTTCCTCATGGCACCAACCTAAATCAATTCAAACAATTCAATACTAAAACAATTAGGCCACTTGAACTACGAGTTTATACACGAGATAATAAACAAAATTAATAGTGTCTTCTTGTACAAATAGCCATTTACCTTCATGCCATACAATGTACTGGCCTGTGTTACAGCAACAGTTGTAATGGCAACAATAATGTTTCCTATTATCATACCAGTCAGTACAACACCAAAAAGTGTCCAGAAAATGGCCAGGATACGACCACAGATGGACGAAGGACACCGATCGCCATACCTATGAATGACATGAAAGACTGAATAGAAACCAGAAGCGTTTGTACTTTTACAATCCGAAACTGAGGAAAGAATACTCCGTCAAATAGAATACCGTATCCTTCCCAATCTTGGAAATTCTCATAAGTGACTATTTAGAAATAATTGATGGTTCGTGGACCAATCAGACAGGTTCTCAATTGCTTACCCTACGGTTGTCATGGAAACAAACGTGAACCAGAACCCTTCCATAACACCTTTAATGTAAGACTTGGGAAACTGCTCCTCATTAATACGGACTTCCTGTAATATTCAATAGATTAATCAAGTCAGTAAGTCCACTGCGGAGTTAGCCTATAGTTTTATCTGTTTACTCCGACGAAAGATT